GCGGAGAAGAAGGCGACGGGCATGGAGACGATAGATAGCAGTGAAGCTGCTAAGAAGTATGGTGGAAGGTTCATGTTCTAAAAGGAATGGTTTATGTCGAGTATTAGGGGTGAATTAATCTATGTTATGTGAAATTCTATGTAATAGGCTAATCAAGTGTGTTATGATGGGAAAATTTTTGTGTGCGGATGATCGATGATCGTATGTTCGAATGACGGTTCAGACGTGATTGTGCCGTCAGGATCGCACAACGTCCTATTTAGACCGTCATCTAGACATGAAGTCTACCCATGCAACAATTTCTCCTTATGACATTAATCATGTGACCATATATAAAAGGGTTTCAATCTTCGTCAATCTTGATTCAAACTCGGCTTTAAATTTGCATTGAACCACGGTTGAATCATCACTCATACTCACACTTAATTATTCAAACAAATTATTTAACCTCATGTTGAATATTGATTTGTCCGTGATTCATTCAATCGTCCTTTTGCCCTCCTCGTGGCTCGGTTGACTTTGACTTTGTAGCCTTTGGCTTGAATGATTGCACTCGGTCGGATAAATTACCTCATGTCTTATGTTGGTTGGCTTACATTCATCGTACTCTTCTCATCTGTATCGTTAGATCTCACCAGGATTGGTGCCGACACTTCATGTTGGTTTGTTTTCGAACCGTTTAAAATGTGAACCACATTCAATCCTTTCCTTCAATCCTTTCCGTTGCTCCGGACAAAAAACATATCTTCACATTTTCACAAGTTGTTGACCTCATCAATCATCCCAACCTCTTTAAATTAACAAACGAGCCAAACATTAGTTATTCGCGAAAAAAGAGCCATTTTGACGAAAAATTATTTCATACGGACACCACATGCAAAAATTCATGCGGTATCCAATCTCCACCATTGATCACAGCGTTTTTATTTTTTATTTTTAAAAAAAATTATATACAGCCGGAGCATTCCTCTACCTTAATATTTTTTCTATAAATACAGGCTGCGAGTTCCTCTCCATTCCTAAACCCTCCTCTTCCCAGCCTTCTTCCCAACTCTCTCCCCCATGTCTGAAAGGATGGGCTTCCGGTTTCACACCAAAACCAACCATGGCCCGCTTGCCAGCGCCATCGACCCACCAAAGCCCGACCTCGAGCCCGTTAAACAGCCCAACTCACATCAAAGCTCCGCCAACTCCTACGGCGGGCGAAGGTTGGGCTTTCCGAGCTCCATGTTCCAAAAAAGTGAGAGGAATATTGGTCGGCCCGATCCGACTGTGATCACTGATGGGGGTTGGGTCTGGCCCAGCCCAAACGGCGGGAGCTTGCCACCGGATACTTCTGCTGCCAAAAACGGAAGATCGCCCGGGGTGATCGGCGGCGGGGGGAAGAAAGGGGGGTGGGGGAAAATTTTTGTGTGCGGATGATCGATGATCGTATGTTCGAATGACGGTTCAGACGTGATTGTGCCGTCAGGATCGCACAACGTCCTATTTAGACCGTCATCTAGACATGAAGTCTACCCATGCAACAATTTCTCCTTATGACATTAATCATGTGACCATATATAAAAGGGTTTCAATCTTCGTCAATCTTGATTCAAACTCGGCTTTAAATTTGCATTGAACCACGGTTGAATCATCACTCATACTCACACTTAATTATTCAAACAAATTATTTAACCTCATGTTGAATATTGATTTGTCCGTGATTCATTCAATCGTCCTTTTGCCCTCCTCGTGGCTCGGTTGACTTTGACTTTGTAGCCTTTGGCTTGAATGATTGCACTCGGTCGGATAAATTACCTCATGTCTTATGTTGGTTGGCTTACATTCATCGTACTTTTCTCATCTGTATCGTTAGATCTCACCAGGATTGGCGCCGAAACTTCATGTTGGTTTGTGTTCGAACCGTTTGAAATGTGAACCACATTCAATCCTTTCTGTTGCTCCGGACAAAAAACATATCTTCACCTTTTCACAAGTTGTTGACCTCATCAATCATCCCAACAACGAGCCAACATTAGAAACCACCCTTCTTCTCCTTCTTGCATAGCTCTTCGCCTCATTGACGCCTTCCGCCATTGCCATTTTTCTCTCAAGACAATATATTGAGGCATATAAAATCGAAATACACCATTATAACTATTAAAATTAAGAAAAAAGGTATATAATTTCTCCCTTATTGTTCCCCGGTCTACTTTTTTTCACTGGTAAATGACTGAAAGCATGGAGCTCCTCTTACCCTCTATAACAAAGATTTTTCTTGATTATTCAATTTAATTTTTTAAATTCATCATAATTTTTCTTCTTCTTTAATTCTGTATTCTCGATTTTCATTTCCAATCTTTTACTTTGCCGTGTTGATTGTAATATTGTAATGACAAAAACTTTCTCGCAGTCTAATAAACGGCCTTGATTTATTCTCAATTCGAAGGACCCGTCCTCGATCAAGTTGTTTGGGATGAAGATTCATAATTCTGATTTTTATTTGCAGCTGTGAAAATTGCTTATGATCCCTAATGACAAACTTTCTCACAGTCTAATAAACGGCCTTGATTTATTCTCTCGATCAAGCTGTTTGGGATGAAGATTCATAGTTCTAATTTTTATTTGCAGCTGTGAAAATTGCTTATGATCCATTTAACCATGGTTTGTTCTATTAATTTTATATGGTTGAGTAAATCATGTACTCAAGTACAACACAAAGTTGAAGATTGAGGAAAGTTATAAAAAATATTCATGATCATTAGTCAATTACATACCCTTACATGCAAACTAGTTACAATTGTTTGAACTATGGCAACATGCATGCACAAAATAACCATGGTTTGTTCTATTAATTTTATATGGTTGAGTAAATCATGTACTCAAGTACAACACAGTTGAAGATTGAGGAAAGTTATAAAAAATATTCATGATCATTAGTCAATTACATACCCTTACATGCAAACTAGTTACAATTGTTTGAACTATGGCAACATGCATGCACAAAATAACCATGGTTTGTTCTATTAATTTTATATGGTTGAGTAAATCATGTACTCAAGTACAACACAAAGTTGAAGATTGAGGAAAGTTATAAAAAATATTCATGATCATTAGTCAATTACATACCCTTACATGCAAACTAGTTACAATTGTTTGAACTATGGCAACATGCATGCACTGAATGATTTACTTTTATTAACAGAAAACATAATAAATACAATGAGTAAAGTGCCAAAATAATCTTCTAACTATTTACATGAGGCTATTTCAGTCCCATAATTTATAGAAATGTCAAAATAGTTCCCAACAATTTAAAATAAAGACTATTTCAATGACAATTTAAGGAATCCAGGGATTATTTTGACATTTTTATAAATTCTGTGACTAAAACAACTGCATATAAATAATCAGGGACTATTTTGATCTGTAAAAACAATAATACAGCTGAAAATTAGACCCATAAATAAGAGAAGTTAAATAATAACACATATAATAGTCGCAATTTGCATTTTTACCCTTCCAATGTTTCCGGTGAATAGGTGATGTTAGATTCAAATTACAAGTTTTTGCAACAATTAAATATATACAAGTTCGTTTTAGGCTTCCCAGGAGCAACACGACGAGTCAAAGTCCTCATTGTAACAAACTCCTCAGCAGCAGAAGGATGGATACCGACCTGCAGCAGTATGGCAACGATAATGAATACAATCCATAAAAAATTTAGTCATTAAAATGAAGAATTGCCTTTTGAAGGAAAAATTATTGCGTCCGGAGGTCTACAACTTAGACGTTAAAATGAAGAATTGCCTTTTGAAGGAAAAATTATTGCGTCCGGAGGTCTACAACTTAGACGTCTGGATGACCAACCACAGACCGTCATGTCGCCCGCCGATAAGGTGTGTGGCGATGTGGTGGCTAGTGGTTGGCCGGACGCAATTTTTTCTCCTTTTGAAGGTTTATGTGATGTGAGAACATTGAGCAGAAAGATTTTACCAGCAATTTACATACCACACAATATCTATGTAATATAACTAAAACTTAAAACATTCTTTATTATTACGCGCATACCGCTTAAATATTTAACATTATATAAAAAAACATCACATCATTATCTTTTTAAAAGTGAAATGCATATTTTCATGCACAAGTCTCTGAAAACAAGGTGTTATAAATGTAAATATCAAGTTTTAGGTGTTAGGTATGCAACTACATAAGAATTGTGCGGCATGCATGCAATAATAGCATCCTTGATGTCATCGGCCATGCCACTGATCATACCATGAAGGAATTTAAAGCGGCATGATTAGTGCAAGTATAAAGTTCAACAGATGGAGTATGCATGCAATAATAGCATCCTTGATATCATCGGCCATGCCACTGATCATACCAGGAAGGAATTTAAAGTGGCATGATTAGTGCAAGTATAAAGTTCAACAGATGGGAGAGGACCGAGGATAAGGTGAGTTAAAAACTATCCTGATCTAACAAAATATGGAGCATTTACATACATACCACACAATTTTTATATGCATACATATCTAACGCCTAAAATTTGATATTTACATACATATCACTCAAATCTTAGACATTACAAAAAAAAACACCACTATTACTACATTTTTAAAAATGAAATACACCTTTACATGCATATAGGTATAGAACACCAAAGTGTTATAAATGTAAAAATCAAACCTTAGGTGTTAGATATGTAAATACATAAGAATTGTGTGGTTTATATGAAAATTTTCCTAAAAATATTTAGCAATAGGTAAGGAGGAAAAGTAGCTCACAGTGCTATCGAATTGTGCTTTAGTGGCTCCAGCTTTGACAGCAACAGCTATACCCTGAAGTTAGAAATTAAAATATGTTAAGGAATGCAAATACCGGAATAAAATAATTTGAGGCAAATAAAAAGGAAAAGGAATATGATAACATTTAACGCATAAATGAGCTTTTTGTCATTCACAAATAATAAAACATAATGCTGGGAAAAAAAATAAACGACATGCATACCCCCTCGTGTACAAGAATATACAAAAATTTCAAATATGGTGCCAAAGATCACAAAACCATGTAGTTCGATTTAAATGCATGGAAACTTATATTCCAAAGGCGAAAAAATTATATATCAACGGAAGGGGAAATAAATTTATTAATCCCAAAAGTAAAAAAAAAGAGACCTTCATTTTAAAATGACGAGAACAGCAACAAGAAGAAGAAGCTTTTATCCCACTCGGCTATATGAGTCATTTTACTTCATTGTATCCTATTTGAGTGTCATATTTACATTTAATTCTAAGAGTTACTTTACCATTATTCAAAGATCTTATCATAATATTAGTTTCATGGACTAATTTTTTAGCTCTCATTCCTCCATAAAGTGAAACTCTTACTTAACGCTACACCCAAGCGTTAGTACAGTGGACCTTGAATATTTTTCATTTTATTCGGGTAACACAATATGTCGTTTCCAGCGGACACTCTAACATTTATACAATGATTTAAGAAATTCATATGATAATTATCGATAAAATTTTACAATGGTTGTTAACTACCTAACACAACACTCCACTTTTTGCATCCGTGGCTCGGGGCCCAACAACAACACTTTAGCTTCATTTTAAAACGAGGCTCTTTAAAAATTTAATTTTTTATATCCTCTTTCTCTCTCATAATAATATCAATGGTGTCGTCTTTTCCCGCTATCGGCTCTGCTAACTCATGGCGAACCCTAGCAACTGTTACGGCGATTCACATCAAATCCTCCCGGCGTCTTTCTCCTGCGTCGTTTTCTCCTTGTTGTGTCTTCTCCATCGTCGTCGGCTCGCGTCGTTACTGCGTTTCGTCAACTTCGATGCCAACAACGGCTTGCGTGTGCGTCATTCTGCGTCTCGCTGTTTCGATTTTGACGCCGACAGCTTCGCACATTCGTGTCTGCGCCATTCTGTTTTGGTTGTTTCGACGTCGACAGCTGCATATAGCACGTTCGCCTCTCCCTGTTTCCAAGTTTTCAGGACTTTGCAGTAGGAGGCGCCGACAACTTTATATCGGGATCTTCTAGCAGGTCCCTGCTCTGATGGCGCTCCCTCCTTTAGTTGAACCTGACAAAACATCATTTTCCCACATGGTGGGTAATCCTAAGGTGGAGTCGGCGGTTGTCTTTCCCTTACATTATAAGAATTATCGTGATGGTATATGTGATTGCCCTTTTGTTAAGAAGACAAGTAGAAAATGTAGGAAAATAACTATTTTTCTTTGACTAAGAAATTTCAACCCTGACTGAGAAATTCAAGTTCGCTCTTATTGGAAAATTTCAGTTGGAGCACCACCCACCTATGAAAGTTATCAGAAAGAGAGTTGATGATCTCAAACAGAAAGTGAGACTCGTGGATGAGAGACATGCATTGATTCAATTAATGGTGCCTGAAAACTAAACCCGAATTTTCTCTAAAAAAATATCTTAATATTGCAAGCAAGTTAATGAAATTACTCAAATGATCTCCTGATTTTGACCCAAATCATGAAACTCTCTGTACCGGTATGGTTTAGTCTACCAGGTCTTAAGCTGCATTATTTTAATCATCAGGTTCTATACTCTCTTTTGGGGTCATACTTGGGGACCCTATGAAGCTAGATATACCCACTTTCAATCTAACCAGACCTTCTGTCCTAGAATACTTGTGGAAAGAGATATTACTTTATTTGATATTACTGAAGTCTGGCTGGCACAACTCATAATGAATATTGACAACATATCATCATGAAACCCAGACCTTCTTATTGTACCCATTATAAGATGTTTGGGAATACCCTTGATAAATGCCACAAGCTCCATCCTAATTTGAAATCTAAAGTTCAAGTGAATAAGGAGGGGTCTAACTCCACTGCTCTGGACATATCTGCTCCACTTGGGAAGGAATTAATTGCTCCTGAGGACCCCCCTTGACGATACTGTTATTATTTCTGCGATTGATGTGATGTTGGATGGCTCTGCAAACAATACTGAAGGATTTCAGACTGAATATCAGGAGAACCTTGCCATCTTCAAAAATTATCCGGTGTAGGGACGACAACTCATACTTCACATGTACTAGAACTTATTGTGGGTACGACGGTTGGTAATCCTTCTGCTACAACTCTACCTCCTCATCTGAATGATCAATCTTCGGATGAGGAACGACAGGTTTACACTCCCAGGAGGAAGAAGAAGAATGAAAATCTACTTGAGCTCAGGAATCTAATTGATGATATTTTGGTTACTTTGGGTAATAGTAAGAACCTCACCAATTTGTTAGTCGGCTCCCTTCTGAGAACTAGAGACAAAGACAGGACTAAATTAGGTCGTCCCTAGCTCTGGTGGTTTGGGTTTTTTATATGTACCCTATCTTTCTTGGAGTTTTTTTGTGTTATACCACGTGGGTTGGGTGCCTACTTTTGGGTCCACTCATACAACCTATCTATATCCTTTGCTCTTTAATATATTAGCTCTTGGGCTATATATATATATATATATATAAGATGGCGTCGACAGCGGCAGCGGCAGCGACACGTTCTGCTAGGGTTTCTCCCTATGGCGATTCCCGGCAGTGATTCTATCGGCTTCTTCGCTTCTCTTCGGCGTCTCCCACGACGACGTTCATGTAGCTGCAGCTCCCTGTCTCTCCTATTGAAGTCGAGTGCTCCTACTCGTCTCCATAGTCGACGAGGATCGCTACTGCCATCGTCGTCTGATTCCATTGACAACGGCGCTATCTCTCGCAGTCGTCTCTCGTAGCCAACGACATTTCTTTTTGTGGCTGTCTCCTTCATCGTCGTCTGATTCCATTGACAACGACGCTATCTCTCGCAGTCGTCTCCCGTAGCCAACGACATTTCTTTTTGTGGCTGTCTCCTCGCTCTCTCCAGACGAACCGAGCCCGAAGTATGCTCGCTTCTTTGCAACCCGCCAAACTGTTTCACTTCTGACCGTGATCATCTTGTCAGGGAGATGTCCTCGATTTTCCGTTCCTATGCAAATGCCCTTGTCGGCGACTTGTCTATTTCTGCTCGTGCCTCTCCTCCAGATTCAGAGTCTGGTTTTGCTATCAGTGAGTCCTGCGATGTTCCACAATCGTTCCAAGAGACTCTTGAAGGTGGAGGTGATCACACTTTTATTAAAAAACTTAGAAAAAAAGGGAAGCTTGCACTTATTCTCACAGAGGATGAAACAGGTACACTCGCGTTCTTTTGACGTTTTGCTCTTGTGGGGAAATTCCTTTATAGTAACCCAAAATTGGAGATCATTAGGAAGGAGTTTGATGCTATGAAACTATTGGACAGTTGGAACATTGGCCTACTTGACGGTCGACATATATTTATTCAACTATCTCACGATGCAGATTACACTCGCATTTTCTCTCAAAAAGCTATCAAAATCGACAATCGTTTTATGAAAATTCTGAATTGGACTGTCGGGGTGGGTGGCGAGTTTTGATCCAAAAGCGGAGTCCCCTATCATTCCAGTTTGGATAAAAGTTTTTTGGGTTAAAATTACATCTGTTCAACATGAAAATCCTCTACTCTTTAGCAACTGCTTACGGTAAGCCTCTGAAGGTGGATAGTCCTACGCTTGGTGTCACAAAACTCTCTGTGGCTTGTGTGTTAGTTGAGAGAAATATCACTCAACTAACTCTGGATGAGATATGGATTGACACTATTCACAACGGGTATGTCTCCTTATTACTCACATTGTAGTATGTTTGGCCACAGTTCAAATATTGTGGAAATAGAACCACATTCTCCTCATTGCTCTCATTGTAATATGTTTGGCCACAGTTCTAATATTTGTTATCGCTTGCATTCTCATCTAAGGCCGAATATAGCTAAAGATCAGTCATCTACCATCCTTGCTGAGAAGGTGCAATCCGATCATCTTTTCAACATCGCAGTTTCAGATGAAGAACATCTTACTACAGGTAAAGATCAAAATGTGTTGAAACCACTTACTGTTATTGAAGAAGTCTCACTTACATGCCAAGACACACGAGAGTGCTCTTTCGACCCGAAAGAAGATGAACTGGTACAACAAGTAGTTGTCTCTAATGTTCAACAACCTACACATATTCTCCACACTTCAGACCATTCTGCTGATCATGTAAGCGAATCCTCGGATGAGGAATGACAGGTCTACACGAGGAGGAACAAGAAGAACGGAGGATGACTCGAGCTAGGGAATCTATTGGATGATACATTGGTTACTACCGGCAATGACACTCATCTGACCAATTTTTTAGCTGGCTCCTTCCCTAGAACTAGAGGCAAAGGCAAGACAAAATTGGGTCGCTCTGCAGCTACCTGATACTCCTATTTTGGCATTTTTTGGTTTTTTATTTTTTAGATCTCTTATGTATTTGTTGTATTTTCTCTTTTTTGAAACGATTTGATATGATGGTTTTTGTGTGGGCTGGGTGACATTTTTGGGATCTCCCACAAAATCTATCTGTGCCCTACTTTTTATTTAATATATCAGCCTTTGGGTTTTCAAATATATATATATATATGTATATATATATATATATATATAGAGAGAGAGAGAGAGAGAGAGAGAGAGAGAATATATGCAAGAAAAGAGGACTTCATTTTGAAAAGCTCTCTCTCTCTCTCTCTTACATAAGAGAAGGGAATACTCAGAGCACACAACTTCGAGAGAACATAAAGAAGGAACTCCACGTGCATAAGTTGACTCTCAAGACGACCTTTATTGGCCTTGCAATTTTCATTCATTTCAAGATGCCTATAATAAGCAATTAAAAGCTATAATCCCCTGACGCATGAGCATATGTCGGGATACCATTTCCACGGAATCCCGTGAATGCGGATTCTACGACAGGTAGATCCCAATTTCATAGGAACACTGACCCACGACTTCTTTTTTATTTATTATTTTCTATTTTTTAAAAAATTTCTTCTATTTTTCTTTCCATTCTGAGACTCAATATTTGTTATTGTTTTGGAGACATTGTTTTCTGTTTTATGCTATTCGGGGTGTTGCACCATGTCCTTTTGAAAGTGGCGTGTCTGTATTATGTTAATGAACATGTGGTAGATCCTTCTCAACCTTCGTACCTTATCATTTAGGAGGCTTTTGTTGTTTTTAGCCAACACAACTGCCTAACTACACTTATCCTCTTCCAAATGCCCTTGAACTCGCCTATTACCTTCCCCTTGCAATTCTACAACCACCTCTCTACAAAACTCGCTTCCTAAACACATTTTAGAAGCCATAAAATGGAATCTAGTAACAGAGCCCGACAAATCCTATATTTCTTTTAGGATTTTATCTTTCTTGTCACAATCCAAAATTAAAAAAATATATTACCATACCTAAAACATTCCCATCACAATTCTTAGAACTAAACCCATATTTTCAAAATTTTTCCTATCTACACTAAAAACCCACCCTAAGAGTTACACCAAAACCTAAGCCCCCAACCAATCGTGATTTGCAATCCTACATCTGTTAGAAACCGGATTATGAGAAAATGACAACATGCTGTCTAGGAGAAGTTCGCAAAAATATTTCCAAGAGTTTATTATGGAGAATGTGCAGCGAAAAGTCCTCAAAATACAACAAAAGCTTGGTGTTTTTGAGAGTAGACAATCCGGTGAGGCCACCCATAACAACAATGGTGACTCCTCAGATTAAGAGGAAGTGAACTCTTCCATTAGTTCTAGTAATGAAAAAGAACTATCTCGACGATTCAACATGGCGTATCAGAGGAGAAACCAGGATCTTGGAATAAAGATGAATTTATAGGATTTCCATGGTCAAATAGATTTGGATGAGTTTATCGAGGGGCTTCAAACAGTCGAGCGAATTTTTTAGTACAACTAAGTTCCTCGGGACAAAAAATTTAAATTGGCTTCGATTGACTTGTAAAATCAAAAGATGCAACGGAAAGAAATTAAATCACACATGCAATTGCATTAAATGACAAATTATAACAAAAAAATGATGAACCCAACTTTTAATTACATTCGCAAAACATCGGAGTTAACCATGCAGCCACACAGGTTTAGTATAATGTACAAGTGTTTAGATTTAGCATGCTCTTAATCCTCATGAAAATATTAGGAGAAATAATGTCCACAAAATCAACATTCATTACTTACAGGGCTTTTCTTGGCAACACCCAAAAAATGTAGAAGGGATGAGTTAGAATCAAATACTTGATCCAAATTAATATTGCAGAAAATGAATGAAAGAAATCAATTGAATCCAAACCTCAAGGACAAAATATCAACTTCATAGACTCCAAAATGCATGATCAATCCATAGGAATAAATGAAGAAGTAAGAAAATACCTGCAAAATCTCTGGTGCATCTGGACCGCACATTGATGCCCCAAGTACTATATCAGTCTCCAAATCAACAATAAGCTTCATAACAGTTTTTTCTTGCCTTCTACAAAACATGAAGAATAGAAGCTAAACGAAGGAAAAAATAAACAGAAAAAATGAAAGATGCAAAAAATATTGTTTTGGACTTGCTTCACAAACACAATTTTTATCTGCTATGAGCAAAAAATTCCATTAATAGATAGTCCCATGGCACTTACAAATATTTATTTGCATAAACCAACCCAAAATAGTTGGGATAACACTAATGATGATGAAGTGGATTCTATATCTCCAACCTCCCACAAAAATATTCATCTGTACGTCAAGAGGGTCATCGTGTTATTTCAGAGTTAGACACCTGAAACTTCCATCCCTCTTCTCCCCTTTCATCAAGTTAGGATGCAGGGAGGTGGTTCCGGAGGCTGGGACAGTAGCAAGGAGGCACGGAAAATGGCCTTGGGAGGCTGAAAAGGCCATGGCAGTGCCAAGGATGTGCTGGAATAGCAGCGAGGCTGTAGGAATGCAGTTCATGTGGCTGGAACAGTAGTTGAAAGCAAGGTGAGGGGCTTAACGGGGCTGCGACAGCGAGGTGAAAGGTTGGGAGAAGGTGGAAGGAATGTTGCGGTGGCTGGGACAATAGTGGAACAATAGTGGACAGCAAGGCGAGGGGCTTACGAAGCTGCGGTAGCGAGGCAGAAGGCTGGGAGAAGCTGAAGGGAAGGTTGCAGGAGGTTGGGACAGACCAAAGGAATGATTCTGAGCTTTTAGTAGTGAGCAGGCTGCTGGCATCGATTTTTGATGTCACAAATACCCGATACCCTTGTGATGTTGTGGGAGCGTGCGGCGCTCACGTGAGCTTCCTTGTGATGTTGTGGGCGCTCACGTGAGCCCTCCCATAGCTCAAGTTGTCAGTTGGGGCATTACTAGATGCACTCCGTCTCCGGACTAAGATTTACCAGGTCCTGATCGTGCTCGACAACAACTACCATTGATCCGTGATGGTTCCCAATTCTAGGGCGAGTTGAATGATCATTCGGAGGCTTGTGTGGTCCGATCCAGTCATTAAGAGCTTTTTTGTGCCAAGTGGAACGATTAGCGTGCCTCTGGAGCAAAAAAAATGTAAGAAAAAAATGACCTTAAGGATCTGGCATGGCCACTCCCAGATTGGGCGTAGCCACGCCAACCCCCTCCCCATAAAGGTTGAGGGGGCTGCCTTCAGCATGGTCAAACCATGTCGCAATACAAAGCCCACAACGTAATTACGCCGTGGGACGACGAGACCACGCCGGACTTTCCTCCAAACCACTCGAAGCCACCTTTGACGTGACCGCAGCCGAAGGCGGCATGACCGCCCACAGCGTAATTACGTCGTGGGATGGTGTGACCAAGCCGACCGGCCCATATTTCGAAATTTGGCATGGTGGCCCCTTAGGAAGCGTGCGACCTGGAGCCAATATTTCAGGTTTTTCTTGGACTCGTGGAAATCTTCTTGGGCTTGTAAAAAACTAAGGGATTATCCCCTTTTTAGCATGTCCTATGTGCTCTTCATTAGCCATTTTTGGCTTGATTGAGGGGGCACTTTGGGGATTTTGCATAAGGAGGCGGTTTAAGCTTCCTCTCTTCCTTATATCACCTATCTCCTCATTTAAGTTTTGGGTTGGTTAGAAGAGCTTGGGAGAGTACAAGAGAGAGCTTCATCTTCCTCTTGGAGATTTTGGAGATGTCTTGGAGAGAATCTCTTGGAGCAAAGAGATTTGAGGAAGACTCTTCATGTTTCTTAAGAAGAGAGTTAAGGAGTTGGTCCCCTTCTCCTTCTTCGTTCATTTTCTTCCGCTTCTTCCATCACTTCATTTGAGTGCGTGAGGAGAGTTTTGTGACGAAGAGCTTGGCTAGCAAGGGAGAAAGGTGCCTGCTCTCCTACACCAAAGGAGAGCTTCATCTTACCTCAAGGAAGGATCACCGAAGCTTTGTTGGAACTTCGCCGAAATCTCGTCGGTCTCTCCTTTTAAAGGTGAGCTTCTTCGTTCTTTGAAGAAGTAGTGGGGCGGACCTCGCTGGAGCCTTGCTGGAATTTCGTCTTCTCTCCTACTGTTAAGAGAGCTTCATCCTACTAGAAGAAACACATCCAAAACCTTCGCTTTGGTGAGATTCTTTAAAACCCTTGTGTTTACTTTCTTAGCTAATCCTAGGAGTATAGTTTGCTAGGTGCTTGTGGGTTTGGTTGCCCACAAGAGGCGGGTATGATCGGCTGCCCGATATCGGCTGGTTCAATCGATCGCCCGTTATCAGATGATCTTATTGGCCAAACGATACCGACAAACCTGATCAAACACCTTTTGATTAACCAATTTTGTGGTGTCGTCGCGGGTTCCTTCACCCACGCTAGGCAAGCTGGCCGGCCGACACTAGTCGACACGACCATACGCCTATTGATTGGCCGTTTATTTACTAGATAAAGCTCCAAGTTAGGATAGTTTTTATTGGACACATTCCTAGCGAATCTAAGAGATTCCTTTGTGAACCCTTGGATCTAACCTGAACCCTGAGGGTCGGAATCCCAGATTCCCACATTTGTAGCGGTTTCCGATCTTCTGTGGAGGTATCCAAACATTGCACTTACAAAATGAGAGAAACTTTGTAGCTAGTCTGTTTGCAAGAGGCGAATGATCGTTCTTTCGAGCAATCAAGAGGGAAAACTCCCTACACTTGCTCCCTATAGTCAGAGGTGGCTATGTCGCATATCCACGCGTGAAAACCTTAGGTGTCTATGTCAGATTGTTAGATGTGTGGCTCTCTATCGATTATGATCATTCGCATTGCATGATGTATTGTGTCACGATATGTGTTTTGTGTGAAGCATGTGTGCTTGCACATTGCCTCGACCGAGATTGTTAGATGTGTGGCTCTGTATCGATTATGATCATTCACATTGCATGATGTATTGTGTCACGATATGTGTGCTGTGTGAAGCATGTGTGCTTGCACATTGCCTCGACCGACCACACCAGCCCGGTCGACATAACACATTTGCTTGACCGGTCGCCCCAGCCCAGTTAGCCTTGCACATCAACTCAATCGTCCGCACGACTCGCTCAACCAACCGCCCCAGTCTGGTCGATCGATTACTTCAGTCTGACCGACTGCCTCCGTCCAGGTCGAGAGATCACTTTTATCTGACTAGCCGCCCCGACCCGGTCGACTAATCACTTTGGTCAAGTCGGCAACCTTAGCCCAACTAAGCCCGTTGGCTACGTTGCCTAGAGTTGACCGTCACAGTCGACCCAGTCGGTCGAACAACTGATTCCACTTGCATAGTGTATGTTTTACATGTGCATTAGTACTGATTACATGACTTTGTACTAATACATTCTTCACTTGCACCTTTGTGCATTTTTGAGTATATACCTTCATATGCTCGTGACAACTACTTGTGCCTCCCAACAACACATTATTCTACATTTTCTTCGTGACATCCTCATGTCACTTAACACCGTGTCATGGGCACTCACAGATCACATCTTAGTGTGTTTGCTTGCATAACATCTTGCATATTTCATGACGTGTACATTTGCATGTCTTGCACTTATATTTGTGTTTCTCATAGACTTATCCCTCACATTCATACATCATGCAAATGGGTGGCTTGTAACCGAGCCAATCCGTTGTGTAATTCTCTCCAACGGGAGTTACATCCCTACACTTCCTACTACACTGCTCTGGATCATTGTAGACACCTTTCGGGTCATTGTCTCCATGACATATCCATTTTTTCGGACCGCTGCATCCACGACACACTCACCTTTTTGGGTCACTGCCTCCACGACATACCCATTTCTTCGGGCGGCTGCTTCCATGGCACGTCCACCATTTTGGGTCACTGGCTCCACAACATACTCATCATTCGAGCTACTGCTTCCACAATTAGTCTACCTTTCGGTGGGCTGCCTCTACAACACACCATCCTTGAGTACCTGCCTCCACGACACGCACACCCATCCTCGGGCCACTACCTTCACGACAGACCCACCCTTCCAGGGCACTGTCTCCAAGACACACCCATTCCCGGGGTTGCTGCCTCTATGACACGCCCGTTCCTGAGTCACTGTCTCCACAACACACTCCTCACCACTTTTATTATTATATGCATTCATGGATAGCGAGTCGAACTTGATAGGTGAGTGACCCATATTAGTTGTGATGCCTTAATAAGCATGCTTACCGGGTTAATCCCGACGAGTAATGCGAGTTAAAACATCAAGATTGACACAAGTATGATCATGCTAAGGCTTCAAGGGATCTAATTCGTGTCACCTTGCAGGTTACGGGTCTGCTTTTAGTGACCCTTATTTTAAAATTAAATATACATATATTTTGCTATTTATTATATCAGTATAAATTTAAAATTATGCATGTAGTAAATTAGGCCATATGCAAGGTCAATTCTTTTAAAAAATATATCCTGGGTGACTCTTTAGATCACTTGGATCTTTAGGATGAAACCGATGTGACGACCCCACCAAAGTCATACATACCAGAGACCTTACCTAAGAACTTAGATGCTAGTTATGACACATTCTTGTCAGATTGTGGGCTGCCTCTACGACACAACATCCTTGTTTAGCTTTATTGCTGACATTATTTTCGGGAGGCCGAGTATTTTTTTTTTCTTGATGTAAATTTTAGAGTCCTAGGAAGAGTATTAGAATAAGATATGGGCACGAGTTCTGAGGTGACAGGAAAGAGGAACCACGTGACCGGGGCCAAGAATTGTTTGCTCATGTCTCTACCTTAATTTTAAATTCATTTTTGTATAGAATTATGACAAAACATGTATATGCGAAATACATCCACCACTTTTTTTCTAGGATATGTCGTCGATCCAGCAACACTGGCTTTTTCATAATTTTATTTGACTTGTTCTACTGCTTTTCCTGCATAATTGCATGCTTGGAGATTTCCCCCTGTTTTTTTATGGTTTTATCTATGATGCTGCGAAAGTTATAATTTAGGTTCTTTAGGACCTTTAAATTGTAAATTATTTTTAAAAAATCCTAATAAAATTTTCAAGATAAATTAAAATTTAGGATTAAAATTGTTAGGATGTTTCAAAACCTAATTTTACTTTCCTGCATGATCTTCGAATTGGATTTTAAATGGGTTGGGCTGTCAACCGTTTATATTAGGGCATCCACAATATCTAGGGATCACTCTAAAAAAATGTAAAATTTTGCATGTCCCGAGAAGTCCTCGTACTTTTCCAACCTGATCTGGCCATTATAAATTTCTACTTAGGTAGCTATCTAGTGCGTTTAGATCATTAGAAGACCCCCGACCTAGATGGGTGTGGTGTAAGTCCTTTTGCCATGAGCGTTTTCAGCTTTGTAGCTGAACCTCCATTTCTTCTTTTCTTTTTTTCAGCGACATCCGCGCCATTTCGGCGGATATAAGTCCCGCCTTTTGGAGTTTCATCTGATACTCATATGATAAGTTTCGTTCTTTTGACCTTAGGGTTACCGGGGTCCCCACGGATTACACAATTCACGGATTGTTGACCGGAGATCTGCGGACGTGTTGGATCGACTATCATTACAACTAGATAGACTTAAAGTTCTAGTAGTTTGGGATACAGGTCTATGGTATCCTAACCCGACTACCTCTATCTTCTTGGGATTACTTCTCGCTTTCTTTGACTACCCACTTTGAGCCCTGCCGCTCCTCTTGCTTTCGTTGGTATCATCTTAACGACTTGATTACTGATGAGCTGCCGCCTGTTTGAGATACAACGATTTATCCTCAGCCCTTATAGCCTCAACATATCAGGATTCCCCATCAAGAAGATTTGGTTATTTCACAGACTCAGTATGCTGATAAGTCTGTTACTAATGTGGGACTATGAGAGATCCACACCCCGCATTGTGGCTTTGCGAGAGTTTTGAAAGCATCAAAACATTCCCATGCAAAATAACCATACTAATGTAAGTAAAAATTCTTCGGATCAAGAGTATTCTTGGGCAACTCCCAAGATGTAATTAACCAAGTGAAATACGTCCACTTTGGAGCACTCGAGACATCAAAACAGACAAATACACCTGAATCACTTGTTGTGGATAGTCTACATATGTATTTTTTCGTGGATATTAGTTCAAGGTGCTTCCACCCGATCTTGTTTGCGGACATATTTGACCTATCATTACAAGATTTATCACAAGTAGACTCTCCACGTTTTTTTCTCTTGTTTGTCGTATTTGCCGTATGCCATTTTTCGATTCCTCTCTTATCCTAATCATTCACATGATCCGGAAAAGAGACTTATTTAGAAAAGCAAAATATAAGACGATGGACAAAATGATGACTCCTTTAAAAATAAAAAGAGAAATGAACAATAACACATGTAGTATTTGGGAGAGTAGAAATTGTAGAAAGACAACTGAGAGGTGGCTGTCGGAGCGGCTTCGACAAGAAGAAATGTACGATGGCGAAGCGGGAGAGATGCAGAGGAGTGGGAAAAAGATAACACCATCTCAAGAGCAAGATACAACCGGAGCACCACTCAACCATTAGAGGAGAGCAACACCATATTTTCTTCGTTAAAGTTGTGGGTAAGGGCGATGAGTTGGAGACCGTCAAAATGAAGACTATTATCAAAACCTTAAATCCAAGGTGCAAGTATATGAATAATAACAGGAGATAATGTTGATATAAGAAAAATGAAAGAGGATGAATGGGAATCACTCAAGACAGAAAAATGAAGCAGCACACAGTTTGTTGTCAAAATCATTCAGCATCATCATCAGCATTATCATAACTACCTAAAGTGGGTTCTAACATTATGAGCATCATTCTCCTTCCACCATCACCACAGAGTGCTACTCGAGATGCTTAACTTTATATTGCACAAAATTTTTATTTCTTTTGAAAGGCTTCCATATTACCTTTGATCTAGTACTTGGCCAGCATCTTTCTGCATTAATTTATATACCAATCTTAATAGTAGTCTTCATGCCAAACAATCCAAATTTATTTTCCAAAGAAATACTTTTACAATATTTCTAATATTATCATTGTTCCTTACAATCATAGTATATTTCTAAACTCTACATATATTTTAGCCAAAATAATTGAGCAATTTTGTTGAAGACTCACCCAGAAATTGTATTCTTCATTGGATTAAATGTAGATGTAAAGACCAGAATATCATTCTTGCCTTGGTCTACAGCCTCCTGCTCACTAAAACCAACAACCGAAAGAGGTGGTATACTGCAAAAATGAGAAGATAAATACTTTAAAAATAGAATCATATGAAAATTTAAAAGAAGACAGATTATCTGATCTTAATGTATCATATATATAAGTGGAACCCCATCAACTAATTGGATGAGCTTACAGCAAGTTTCACAGGCACAAAACTTAACATTTGTGCGCGTACCCAGGTGGCAAGAAAGACATACTTAATTTGAATCATTACATATCTAAAAAATGGTTTTTACAAAATTAAATTGATAGGCTTCATACATTAATGGATAGAATGGTAAATGAATAAGCCTTGTATCAAGCACCACAATAAGACATGCAAGCTATGATGACTACTCTTATGCCAAGTTTGATATGCACGCCTTATACTATTATCCCATCCATTCCTATAAAGAACTTATGTTAGGAAGTATAAAATATTTCGTGTGATGGGTTTGCCGATTGGAAAAATAATATTCTTCACTTGTATAGCATGTGGAAGGATAAAAAGTGTAGGCTTTTAATTGACAATGTTATTGATTTGAATGCACTTCCCTGTTTCGACAAAGTCCATCTTTAGCTCTAACTTAACTATTGACATACATACTGCAACTTATCATGCTATGTGGGACAACAGTACCTTTTTGCGTGTTATCATTTGATGTTTAATGCCAATTCAAACAAGAAGATATGAAGATAAAATTTTGTGTGATGGCATGCTCATGGATACAACTCGCATGCTTCTAGATCAACTTGTTTATGTGCATGAATTCCACGATCAGGACAACAATTATATGTACAAGCATGATAAGAAAGCTCTCAAACTTTCTCATGTGAAGGTGGTTGCCCCATTTCCACCAAACAAACCAACATCTAAGCCTACAACATTTCGTCTCATGATTGTTGATCCAGCTTTAATTAGTTTTTATAATGATTTGTAACATCTTGCAAATCAAGTTAAAAGTTTGGGCCGTCTTATTATAGCTGTCAACTAATTATTGACGATTGCATTGATTTGAGTAAGAACAATTTTATGTCATAGCCTAGGGATCTTTATTCTAAGGGATAATAATTATATATTCGAGAAACCTCCTATTGTAATCCCTCTATTGATTATTGATGTTTGTCTTAATTTGAGTGATATATTTACGTCTTATGTTCAGAGATCATATCATTTAAGTGTGGTTTCTAGCTGCCAACCAAATGCTATCACAATTACTTGAACAACCTCCCGATATTTCTCATCTTGCCCTACCACCCCGCCGACACCACCACCGCCTTCGGAAATCTTCTTACCCCCCTAACCCGGGGATTCACTTATTATTGTATTTTCTTTCTATTTGAGTTGTGTTATAATCCTATTTCTACATTAATAAAAATTTGTTTTTGTGTTCCACTGTTCTTCCTGCTAGTTCCGATATCACCTCTTTGGTGAGAGTTTTTGTCCTTAGTATTATCCTTTTAATTTATGTGTTTTCTTTCTATTAGTTATATTCATATAAATCTCTCGAATGTTCTAGAGCTTCTCTTCAAGTTCCAACACTTTCGTCTCTGGTTTATCCAACTTAAGCAAGATTTACAAAATATGTCTAAATTCAGCCACTCTCCTTTTCTTCAACTCCATAAAAAAAACTTTAACAAATATTGCATCATTTCCCCCACATCCAAAATTAATCACAAAACATCTACATTCATCATATTTCCTTGTATAAACTTTTCTCAGCGTCCACATAAAATTAGGCACCTAAAATCAGCTCAAATCTCTTTTCCCAATAATATACCTTACAACACTTACATACCTTTAAATTAGTTCTATTGGGTCCTTCTACATCCCCTCAAACAGTCACACCAAATAAAATTATTCACTTCAAACCACAGACCAAAATCCACCATAGCCTCTTGATTTAACACCACTTCAAGGACATAAATTGTTGAATTCAATAGATAGGCTGGAACAAACAACTCAAAATAAAACCCAACCTATAATAACACTACAAATCTTATCTATAAATATATATGTACACAGGGTGCCATCAAAGCCAAACGGGAGCTGACCTCATGACTGTCACCTTCTCAATCTCCGTTTGCTTCTCTCCAAATTCTTGTTGCCACCTCGTGAAAACACCGTAAATGATGCACGAACTATGCAAATCCACCTCTCCTCATACATGTTTTTTTTTTAAAACATTAGGAAATCATCTTTTGTTCTTTTTTATTTATCTATTTTTCTTAGAATGAAGGGTGTGGAATACCCTCGTACAAGTGTTTCATGCAATACACATATACAATACACATATACGTTTGTTTTAACATAGTGGGGACTTAGTGTTGGTTGTATTATCAAGTGCACAGCGTATACATGCCTTTTTTTATGTAATATGAAAGTTTTGACATATTTTTTAATACTCCTCCATGGGGGTCGCACGGAAGCACTGCTAGCTAAGAAACTTGTTCAACAAAATTACTTTCAAGACAAAAAGGGTGCAACAAAATGATAAAATAACGAACAAACCACAAATGAGACCAAAATAATGCACAAAATTCTATTAAAACTTGTGATAAAGAGCAAAAAGAAGTTTAAAAATGAACTTACTAACTTTGGGAGTTCCCTAATGAAGAAAAATGCAAACCTCTTGACCTCAACATGCACAACAAGCTTGAATAGAACACAATAAGGAATCATGAACCTCTCTATTATAACAACCAAATCACTTCATCGTGGAGCCTGCCTAGGGATGATGATTAAAAAAACGTAGAATTTGTTATTTGAATCAATCGCCAACAAGGGTGTCAATAAATGACTTGAAACTACAACCCAACTAACAAATTTCAGGTTTGGTTTAACAAGATTACTATTTAGTCTAGTTCAGGTTTAAAGAGTGAAACTCAATTATTATTTAGGTCAGGCTCAGGTGGACCCAAATAATTTAAATCAACTTGGAATGAATCTGATCGTTATTCTTGTCTGGTTTTGGAAAGCTATACATCATTAGGTTAACAAAGGCATATCATATTCGAGTTATTTAAGTCATTTTAATCCAGAAATTTGTAAAATCCATACAATAAATTGTTATGTTGAGTTAGGTTTAAGTTAGGCGAGTTTGAGTCAAGTCAGGTTTAGGTCAAACATTTTGACTGATAAATAAAAAGGGTTAGGTTTATGTCAAGCAAATTTGTGCCAGTTCAACTTCAGGTCAAACTCAAATTTGACCCATAAAACAAATTTACACCCCTAATCATAAGCATTGTAGTGTGCAAATCAATTCAGAAAAATACATGACACACAAGCTCCACCAAAAAGTATATATGCCACTCCAAAAGCATGTTGAGGTGCTAAAAAGCAAAATCTCATGATAGTTCAATGAAAACATTATTGAAAGCAAGAACATGAAAATTGAAAATTGAACATCTCCATAATGTCGTGAAAGTTTTTCAAGGGAATTCAAACCAAATTAAGAAATCAAATTACGCTGCTCTAAAAAGCTTCCAATTGGCGTTTAAAAAAAGAAGACTAACATCAAGTATTTTCGAAAACATCAACCATGAAGAACAACAAGACCGAGCTAAAGAAGTCGTGGGTTATACTCCACGAAAAAAAAAAGAAATTATATCCTCAGATGGTAAAGAAAGATGCAATGAGCAAACAAGAACTAGAGAATTAAACTATTTTGAGCCTGTGTCGGACAGAAACAATTTGATTACCAAAATACAGCAGAAGGAACATTCCTATGGTCAGGTTTGGTTGGCAGCCCACCAAATACAGTTTTCTGCAACCGATATGAAATAAAATATAATAAAAAGTAAAACGAAATTAATAATGGTTAACAATGAATAACTCACAGACAATCATATAAAAAACTATCAGAAGTGAACATACTGAAAAGCAAGTCCCCTCCATTAAAGCCACAGGAGTCAAATTCAACCGGTTAGTAACATCTCCAACAGCCCATATGCTAGGGACAGTAGTGCGAGAATACTCATCCACCTGCAGGAAAATTGGCAGTGCAAAAGTTGGCTAATCCATATGTTTTGGTAAATCATCCTACACATAGCAAAAAGATCTAAAAATATAGAACCTCTGCATAAAAAACTTAAATAGTTCATAGATCTCAATGGTTCATTTGAAAGTCAAGTATTGAAAAACATTGGTGTTGGAGAACTGCCCTGTTCAATCCAATTAGCTATCTTCACGGATTTGATGTAAGGCTGTGGGCTTGAGGTTAAAATGTTTGGTTTTTTTTCCACAATTACTAGTTAGATGCACAGGGAAAACATAAACGAACCTTTATAGCTCCAGTTTTATCCAACTCAACGCCAACAGCTTGTAAGTTCAATCTTTTTGTGTTTGGTGCCCTACCTGACATGTCACATAGATTAAAATGTATAAGCTCTTTAAGAAAGAAATGCAGGGTTTATATAAATTGATTGCAAAATAATTTCTTCTCTAAGGTATAGCACTCTCTTGCCTGACAAGCAAAAAAAAAAAAAAAAATCTGAAAGTAAATATCTCAGAGTACCCCTTGGAAAAGCGATGTTATTGTGGACCAGTTCAGCTTTTATCCCATGCAAAAAACCATTGAAAGAGTAATGGGTGATGTTTTGAAGAACTTCATGCACTAAGCCTAATCATCTAATTTATATTAAAAGAGAAGTTACTTATTTAAGGGAATTATCAACAGATCTACAGAAATTTTAAATTGCCATGACCAAGATAGTAAAGGAGATAGAGAGGATGGATATGGTCTGTCACGACCAGACCCGAGGCTTAGATTAATTAAGATAGGAACTACTGTTGGATGGTATAAACCTTTCAATTTTTCTTTCCACATATTTTTCAGAAACTTGCAAAATATAAAAGAGACACTAATATCCACAAAGTGCAATAGATTTAAAACATTCAAAAGCGACAATAATATAAAGACCATATCTCAAACCATAATTAAGCAATGTATCACTATCTGAAAGAAAAAGTATAAAGAAACTATTAAACACATTATAAACTAGTACTTATCAGCTACAATGGTAAACTAGTACTTATAACCCTCTCAACTGCAATCCATTTCATGTAAATCAAGTCTCTCATACAACTTATCAACCAAAAGCTTTTCTATTCCTGAAAGAAAATATTAATTTCAACTGTAAATTTGACTTAACGGGTAATTATAATAAAAAATGCATTAAATTATGATATTTATTGAATGACAAAAAAAAACAGTTCATTACTTTATAAAACGAACTTCCACTTTAATTTTATCTCTTCTTGTTTCACTTTAAGTATTTATCATTTTAATTCCTTAAATAGTCATAACAGGATTACCGTTATACCCAAGATATCCTAAAAATATACCCGTAGGAAACCTCAGCACCTTTGTCATTTCCTTTAACATGCACTGGTAAATTGCATCCCTTACCCGGACCATCTGAGAGTAATCCTGTATAACTTAACATTTAAATTTCATTGCATATCGATTTAAATCTTTAAAATGTAAATTCATAAGCCCATCATTCTTCTCCCATTCGCGATACCATTTCAAACTTTCAAAATGTCATGCATGAATGAAATACATATTTTAAACCATTTAATAAAACAATTATTCATTTCATAAAATATTAATTTAATGCATAAAAGAAAATAATCATTCTTTTTTGCTAACAAGAGACTTCTAAAATACTTCTCCTCTGTTAAATTCTTCTATCTTAATTAATTGTGCAAATAATAATAATAATATCATCTAAAAAAAAACTTAAATATATCTATCGACATATCATTAAATTGACAGATATTAATCAGTATATTATTCTTTACCTTAAAAGGTATGATTAGCTTCTCGCACAAGCCTCCGCTTTCCCCTTCAATTTCAAAACTATATTTCCTTAACCTCAAGCACTTACTGATTCAAGTAAACTTTATTTTAACATTGTTTAAATAAATATATATGTATACAACATTTGCTTAATTAATTTAATTTAAATATGAAGGTTTACCTTATCAGTTTCTCGGATCAATCTTCTATCTCACTGGCATGCTCCTCAAACCTTTTCTTAGAATCTGAAATCACTATTTGTTAGTCTTGATTTCAATAGAACTTTCCATTAATATCATTATTAAACACACGGACATAGTTTAACACATATATATGTACTCATATAGCAATATAAATAAATTAAAATTTTTGAAACATCAATTACCTTAAACTTCGGCGACCTCACCTTAACCTCACACACGCTCGAAGCTCCTCCTTCCCACAGAATGAGAGCTTCCTACACTTTGCTTTCGGGATTTTAATAGCTTCAATCTTGTTTACAGTTGGTCAACAACCCTATCTCACTCACGGGAGCTCCGCTCTTATTCTTCCTCCTACCCTCAGTCCCATGGCCCTACTTAGCACTGCACACGCCTCCCTTCGGTCTCGGTTGATCCTAACGTAAGGCTTTTCTTCCTCTCACGAGTACAATTTGTCTTCTTCCTCTACATAGGAACATGACACGGTATCTTCTGCCCTATCTTCATACACAATACTGCAAGACTTTCACTTCCCTTCTTCTCCTTCGGTCGTAGTTCATCCTAACAGAGCATGCACACAAGTCTTCCCCCTGTATTCTTCGATCTCATGCGGTCTGCACAACAGCCGTAGTCTTCTTCTTCCTCTGCACACACACGAGAGCATGCACACAAGCTTTCCCTCCTGTATTTTTTGATCTCGTGCAAACTGCACAACAACCGTAGTCTTTTTCTTCCTCTTCTTCCTCTACACACACGCGAGAGCAAAAGTGGTTAAACTCCTCTTTCGACTTCTCCTTCCCTCTCTAATTCTTCTCTCGCTCCCTCTCTCTCCCTCTCTCCGTTCGCTCTATGACAATTAGGAGTGAAAAACGATCGAGAGATGCCCTCCCCCTCTCGATTTCACTTAAGGAATCGTCTTAACGGTTTGATTTATTATTATTATTATTATTATTATTATTATTGTTTTATTTAGAATTAAATTATTACAATCTCCACTCTGTATAAAATTTCATTCTCGAAATTTGAAAATAATCATTGAAGTAAATATACCTAAAATGAAAAGTTATGGAAATCTTTCTTACATCTCAGAGACTTTCTCCCAAGTAGCATCCTTTCTCCGACCATGTTTCCATAAACATTTCAAAAAAGGGATCTCTCTGTTTCGCAACTTCTTCACATCATAATTCAAAATCATTTCAGGCTCCTCAACATAAGTTAAATCATATTGAATGTCACCAGAGTCTGTTATGACCCTACTAGCTTCACCCACAACATATTTTCTAAGTGAAGAAATGTTAAAAACATTATGCGCTCCCTGCATATGAGCTGTTAAAGCCAATCTGTAAGCCATATTTCCAATCCTCTCCACAATCTGAAATGGACTGACAAACCTGAGGCTCAATTTTTCTATATTCTTAAATCATTGCACGCCTTTCAATTGACTAACCTTATTAAAAACAAACTCTCCCAACTTCAAACTCAACAGGATTGTGCTTGGTATCATAATATTTTATGTCCATCATGCACTGCCTTTAGTCAGATTTTGATTAGTCTAATATTCTCAGTAGCATCATCAACCAAATCAGTTCCAATGATCTTTCTTTCACCAATTTCAACCTAATATAAAGGTGTCCTGCACTTCTTCCATACAAGGCTTCATATGAAGCCATCCCAATGCCAGCTTGGTAATTTTATTGCAAGCGAATTCTAATATATATGATTCCTAGCCTCCATTAAAGTTAAGCACACATAACCTTAGTAGATCCTCCAAGGTCTGAATAATCCATCAGTCCGAGGGTTAAATACTGTATTGAGAGTCAGTCGGGTGCCCAAGACTTCTTGAACGAACACTCTTCACAAACTGGAAGTAAACCTGCTATCTCTGTCAGACATAATAGAGTTTGGCACTGAATACATCCTCACAATTTAATTTACATATAATTTGATTAGCTTCTCAATTGGATATGTTTGTCTAATAGGCATACTTAGTCAATTTGTCAATGATTACCCATATAGCATCATGACTCTGACGCGATCTCGACAACAAAACAAAATCCAATGTAATCTCCTTCCATTTCCACTCTGAAATCGGTAAAGGCTACAACTGTCCTCCAGGAAGCTAATACTTTGTCTTCACTAGCTGACATGAAAGACACTTAGCCACAAATTATGCCACATTCCTTTTCAACCCTGGCCACCAAAATGCTTCTTTGAGATCTTAATACATTTTATTACTCCTTGGCTGAATAGTACATCCAGATAAATGTGCTTCCTCCTAAATTTCTTTTCTTAGATCATCAACATCTAGAACATAAATTCTTCCTTTATAACTCAATAAGCCCCTAGTTTAGCACACACCTCTCCAAACTGCCCATCTTAACCAGCCACAGGAGTTTCTGAACGTTGTTATCTCTAGCTAAGGAATCTCCAATTCTGCACTTCAAAGTTGGTTGTGCTGTCAACTAATATAACTGAGCCATAATATCATCACCATAATACTTTACGGATAGCTTCAACTTCTCCAGATCTTTAATTAACTGCTCCTGTTGAGTAATTAAATAGTTAAATTTACCTGAAGCTTTCCTACTCAGCGCATCTGCAACAACATTAGTCTTCCTCGGATGATACTAAATATTCAAATCATAATCTTTAATAAATTTCAGTCATCTTCTCTACCTCAGATTCAGTTCTTTTCGAGTAAAAATATGCTTCAAATTCTGGTGGTCATAAAAACTTTGCATCTAACTCCATACATATAACGCCTCCATATATTGAGTGCAAAAACAACAGCAGCAAGCTCCAAGTCATGTGTGGGACAGTTCTTTTCATGATTCTAGAATTGTCATGATGCATATGCAATGACCCTACAATGCTGCATAACTACATATCTCAAACCTCTCAAACATGTATCGCTAAAAATCTAAAACCCATCAAACCTTGAAGGACTAGTTAATACTGGAGCATGCGTTAAGCAAGTCTTTAGTTCTGAAAAGCTTCCTCACAAAGATCTAACCATTCGAATTTCACTGCCTTTTGAGCAATCTTGATAACAACATAGCAATCTGTGAAAACCCCTCGATAAATCTCCTGTTATGACCAGTCAGACCTAGAAAACTCCTGATCTCAGTGATAGTAGTAGGCCTTGGCCAATCTGCAATCACCATGAACTTATTCTGATCCATAAACATGTCATCTCTACTGATAATGTGCCCAAGAAAAGCTACACTTTTAAGCCAAATTTCACATTTAGAAACTTTGGCATAAAATATTCTCCTTCAAAACATGTAGCACAACATGTAAATAATCTGCATGACTGACTTCATCCCTCAAATACACCAAAATAACATCTATAAAGACGATCACAAAAGTATCCAAAAACCACCTAAAGACCATGTTCATCAGGTTTATGAAATTATTGAAGCATTTGTTAGTTCAAATGGCATAACCACGAATTTATGGTGCCCATATATAGTCCTAAAGCGGTCTTCACTATGTCTTCTACTCTAATCCTCAGTTAGTGACAGCCTGACCCCAGATAAATTTTTGAAAATATAGAAGCCCCTTCCAACTGATAAACCAAATCGTCAATCCTCGACAGAGTAAATTTATTTTTAACTATGAGCTTATTCAACTCTCTGTAGTCAATGCACATCCTGAAGCTCTCATCCTTTTTCACAAATAATATTAGAGCTCCTCAAAGTGAGGTGCTAGGTCTGATGAACCCCTTATCTAGTAATTTCTTCACAAATCAATCTCTTGTATTAATGGTAGCCCTAATAAATCATTAAATAACACTTTTGGATATTCTTTTACCATTGGAATATCACCCAAAGACTTCACTTGATTAGAGATATTTGCTATCTAAGCAAGAAAACCTTGATTTCCATGATTCAACAATTTGAAAGAATTCATACAATTATCATAAATGTCAATTCTCTGTCACCACAAAATTTAACTTCTAGCTCCCTAGGTACATTTATTTTGACGATCTTTTTATTGCAACCAAAAGTGACAAAGTTTATAAACATTCAATCTATGCCTAAAGTCAACTCAAACTCCACCAAGGGCAATATAATGAGTTACGTGACAAAATCTTTTCCAACAATCATAAGCTTCACCTCACATGATTAATTAATTTCAAGAAAAACACCATTTGGCATTTTTACTGATAGTATCACATCCATTGAAAGGATATTCAACCGCATCATTTTAGCCAATTCCACAGCTATAAATGAGTGATACTCCGGAATCAAGCAATACTCTTATCGGCTTACTTTGAAAATATACGATACCTATCATTAAAATCATCATAGTAAACATTTAGAGCCAGCTTATTAATATATTTAAATTCTTACATTGTTTTATGTGACATGACATAAATCCTACAGTAATTAAAGGTGCACTAGGTTAAAAAGTATAAAGAGTAAAACATACTTATGATGACATCAAATGAGTCCTTAGCTTGCTGTTGCAGAAGAGCATTTACTCTGGGCTGAACATTCTGCTGAATCTGACCTGTATTTAACACTAATCCTGAAGATTCAGTTACCCTCAGTTTACCATAGCTCCTCTGAGGTGGTGCAGCACTGCTAGTGGAATCTGTTGGAGACCAATTCCCAATTTAGGGCAATTCTTCGCTATATGTCCTGACTGGTGGTACCAAAAGCAGGTATTCGATCCAAACAGACTTTCCCTTATGAGACCTTCCACACTTGTCGCATTTCTTCGCTTCAAACTGAGCGTTGATATTGCTAGATTTGGCCCTCTTAGCACTAGTAGTACCTGATAGAAAAGACTGTCTACCCTGAGAGCCCTGAGAAAACTATTCTGAGATGTCTAATCATCTATTCTGAGATGAGAGGAATTAATGATTTGGATTCCTCTGAATTTCTTATCTTCTAAATGTCCCTCCTCAATCCTTCCAGCTCTCCACCATAAGAAAATAATCATCTATTCTGAGATGAGAGGAATTAATGATTGTCTAATCCTATCTTTCAGCACTTCTCTTTTGCATTAATAATCAACTGAGACGCATAACTTGAGAGTCAGGTGAATTTAGCTTCATAATGCATAATGGATTGATCGCTATGTACCAAACAAATAAATTTGTCCTGCTATTGTCTTCTCATAGACAGTGGTACAAAGCAATCTCTAAAAGTGCTCACGACCTCGCCCCACTGAACCTCTAGCTGGCTTTACCCCAAATTTCTCCTACAACTAACCTCATCACCATCTCTCTGCTTTTCCCTTTGAAGAAAATGTAGTCAGAGTAACCATCCTCTTCGGAGGGGAAGATTAATCAATCTAAAATCTTCACCCTAAACAACAAGTTTTTAGCATTCAGTGGATCACCAGAAAAGAGAAGTGGCCTAATATCTTGAAATAATTTCAAATATTTGAGCATTAAACCTCCTCCACTAGAGTCGACCGAGTCTGTAAGTTGTTAATCAACTAAGTTACTGCAGTCATCATCCCAGTAAATACATCTATATTCACGTTAATCTGTGGGTGTGGGGATGCATCAACTTCCACAGTATCATGTCAAGCTTCTTCCCCCCCTGATTTTCCATATTTCTGAAATAATAAAAAAAAGATTATAATTAAACTTAATTTAAACCTTCATGAATATCACTTAAAAACTAACTTAATCATCATAAAACTCTTTTAGATCATAATCAAACTAAATTAACATAATTTAAACCTTCATGAATATCACTTATAAATTAACTTAATCAACTAAGTTACTGCAGTCATCATCCCAAAGGAAACTTCCAAATATATAAAAGAGCCACTAATATTCACAAAGATCAATAAATTTAAAACATCCAGAAACAATAACAATAATCTAAAAACCATATCTCAAACTAAAACTGAACAAT